ATTTTGCATATTTGATTTGCAACTAGTCAATCATTAGTGCTAGTGCCATCCTTCATTTTTTTACAATAACTGGAATCATCTCTTACTTCAATCATTTACTGATAACTTTTGCTACAAACCTGATCTTAATACCGATTCACTTTGAATCTGTATCACAAATTAGAACATCTATATAAAATTTTTAAATGGCAGTGCAAAGTTAAATGCATTTACTCTCAAGTCCCATTAACCACTCTCCTATCGTCTAGTCTCAGCAAGGCAGCAGACGAATTAAGTCAACACTTATATAAATCCTACTGAGTCAATGGACTTCTTAGCAGAAATGCTGTTGTTTAGTATAGCAAGTGACAACTAAAGTAGACCCATTAAATTAGTGGAGATTTGGGGAGTCAACTCTGTAGGTTCCATTGAATCATTGGACCTACTCTAGTTGTAACTTACTGCACTAAGCAACAGGATATAAGCCATTATATTTGGGACTAGCAATAGGATATTCACCAGTGCATTTAATTGGGCTTTGTCCCATGTAGCATGTGTGGGATTGCAGCCTGCTTTTCTATATCATGCTGCAGAAACGTGTAAGAAAAGGCAACTGCTTTTGAGAGGTTAAACCCTGTTGTTTTTAATTTTTAGCAGGTTACATATAACAACTTTGAAATATTATTATGTTTATGATTAATCAGTAAATAGTGTAAAAATAAATCTTGGACAAGCTTATTGATTTGGGGAGGGGTGTTTTTTTTTTAACAAACTATGTAGCAGTCTTTGGAAAAAGTTCGAATGCCCACAGTCATATGAACTAATCCTGAAGGTTGGTAGTGATGAGATTTTTTTTTGCATAAACCTTTTCCCCTCTCTTTTCAGGTTCATTTGTCCTATGTATATCCCAATGACTACACTCGCCTGAGTTATATGGATTCGTATAACAAGTGTTTTTACCAAGAAAGTAGCGTTTACCTGGACAGGTAAAATAATCCTTTTCAGTATCTTAACTGTGTGGTTTTGTGATTGTATAGCAGGGACTTCATTTTAAGAAATGGGAACTGAATCTGAGTTCCCACTTCCTTTTGTCTAAATAATGGATCACCCAAATATCTTAGATGCCTCCCATGCTGCTTAGGGGTACCCAGTGTGGTCTAGTGGATAGAGTGGCAGACTAGGACTCTGGAGAGCAGAGTTCAGATCTCTGCTGGGCCTTGTAAACTTACGGAGTAGACTGGTAAAACTACTCCTTAAACTAAGGAGTAGAACTGGTAAAACTACTCCTTAAACATCTTGCTTACCTCAAGTGAGGTAAATCGGAATTGATTTACAGGGTTGCTATAAGTCAGTTCCGATTTGGTGGCATATAACTAATTAACTAGGCTGCCTATTTTAATGAGAGTGCATGATACCGGAGATGAAAGGGGCATGCATTAGAATATCTGTGTTGTTCCATAATCTGAGGGGACTGGTAAAACTACTCCATAAACATCTTGCTTAGCTCAAGTGAGGTAAATCGGAATTGATTTACAGGGTTGCTATAAGTCAGTTCCGATTTGGTGGCATATAACTAATTAACTAGGCTGCCTATTTTAATGAGAGTGCATGATACCGGAGATGAAAGGGGCATGCATTAGAATATCTGTGTTGTTCCATAATCTGAGGTGGGGGAAGTGCTTATCCTAGCATTACAGGGTGACCATCCATTTGGACCACAAGGGAGCAGTGATAAATGATAGAGCCCTTTTGAAACTGGAGAAGTAAATAAGTTCAGAATTGACTTGACAGCACAAAATTATTATAAGTACAAGGATCAGAAGTGGCATACTGTATTAGGGTTAAAGGCCAGTTTGTATAGCCAGCAAAAATGAAGTGGCACAGCATCTTGGATGATCCTGGTTTCAAATTACAGGCAGAGCAGATAAAATTCACTGCGCACTAAAAACAAGCTTGTGGGGGAGAGAGTTACAGCCCTGCTTTCTCTGCCAAGTTGTTTTTCTAAATACTGTACAGCTATTTTTCCCCTGGGGGAAACATAAACATGCAGTCTGTTACAGATGTCAGGTTGAGCAAGAAATTCAGCACTGGGAAATTCAGCACTAAGAAGTGCCACTTTTCCTTTTTAATTCCTGCAGATTTGGATTTTCCAAGTACATGCAAATGGACCAGCCAGACGGCAGAAACTTAAATTATGAGGAAACCATAAAACTGCCAGGTATGTATCCTTATGACAGATGTGGAAAGATGATGGCACACACTTCGTTCATTTTACAAATGACAAATAAGCAGTAGGCAAGAATTTAAAACACTGTAATGGACAAAGTAAGAGGAGGTGGTTTATTAACTGAGCCGAAACACTTTTAATCAGAATAAGAAACTAGCTAATTGGGGGAAACGCCTTGTGGAAAGTTGTCTCTCCCTTTTATACATCAGAACATTTCAAGGTGCCTCTATTTTTTTCCCCTACAAGACAGACAGCGACTTGTTAGATACATTAGTTTACACTGGAGAACAACTCAGAGAGAAAGGATGTCATACTCAGGTCCCACCAATCTGTCAATATACACAGCTATAACAAGTAAATTGGTAGCCCATACAGCCACTTGTCTCACACAAGAAATATGGACCTTTCAGCGCTTAGGTTTCTTTTCCAGACTTAATGTCCTTTTAAATTTTTTGGCATTTTAAAAAGTCTTCAATTGCAGCCATTTTTTCTACACACGTCTATAAAAATTGTGATCAGTTTTTCCTAGTGTAAATGTACGTTTATACTTTTATTTATTAATTATGTTAAGTTTTTGCAATTTTATGGGCTCTTTCTGTTACATAAATTATATCCTATGTAGAAGGAGGACTGGCCTCCTCAAACAGATACTTAGAAGTGTTTCCTTTTTCTCAGCATCGTACCCTTTGTCATGGCTATAATGAAAATTGCTGTTTGAAACACATTAGAACTCATCTTTCTGAGAAGCCCTTATAAGCTGTAGATTTAGCAGCCCAAAAATAGGCCACTGTGCATAGCTTCTTTGCAATCTTTGGGTTTTTTTTAAGGGGGTTAATTTAATGCTTTGGAGCCCCCTACTTCCTAATCAATTTCCACTGATTGATCAGTTTCTGTACCCACCCACATTCCCATCATATTACTACTTCTCTGTTGGCAGCAGACTGGAACTGAGGAAAGTCCATTGGGGCACACTAAGATTTGTGTGATTGAAAGGTAGCATGTACACCAAAAGCAATTCACTTTTAGAGAATTCCAAAAGACATTCTGAACTGATGCAAGACCTCATCCGCGTCAGTGTTCACAGATGACAATTTAAGCAACCACAGTTACAGGTCAGCAAGCTGTCTTTAGGCAGGCTTGCTTTCAAAATGTGGACCAACCTTCGTCCCGAGGTTGATGAGAGGGATTCCTTTCTTACCAGAAAACTAACCATGATGAGGTAACCACCATTGCCTAATAGTGTATATAAAACAATTTTCAGAAAAGAATATTGTCCTTAATCCAGAATTTTGTATTGCTTCTCAAGGAAAGCATATGATCACAACATGCAGTAATGTTTCTATCATATTGCTCCAATTCCTTTCAAAGCTCTTGACCTGTTTGCAACATAGGGAGAAGTAGCTCTTTGAGGAAGGACTGCTGCAGAAAAGAAGATGGATTGAGGTGGGGAAGTTATATACTGTAACTCCTAGCATGCTTCAGAATGTAAAAGAGTAACAAAGCAAAAGAGAAGTTATTGTCTGTAATCTTTTTAGGTGATGAAGAGGAACATTTTGATGATGCTCAGTATGCAGATCCAGAAATAGAAGACACAGTGCCTCCACTAAATGCTACCAGACTAAGGATTGAAAGAGGTCCTCTCCAGGCTGCAGAAAATGTGAATGCTTATGATTATTCTCTGCAAAAGCATCGAAATCTCTTGTCTGTTCCTGGAAAAGATATAAAGAGCAAAGAAGCTAACAGACAGAAAATGACTTCAGTCAGTCAGAGTAAAACGAATCCAGAAGCAAATTCACCAAAGAAGAAGCCACCTTTGAAAGGGAGAGTGAAAGAAAACTCGAGAAACTCTCCTCCTTACGACAGGAGTCTCCGTGAGTTACCAGCTACAAAGAGGAAAGCAGAGAATGAGGTCTTGCACGCTAGGAAAAGGTTTGAAATGGCTGGGGAACAGAATCCCATCAGACGCAGAGACTCAACTGGAGGGATCTCTCAGGAAACCAGTCCACCTGAATTAGACTTCAATACAAAGAGAAACAAGAACCCATCATTGAATACCAAAAAAACAAGAAGGCAATCTGAAGCACTTGATGACAGAGCCAGAAAAGCAACCCTCCTGGAAAATCCCATTCATGAAGACCAGTGGTTTAACCAAGTGGATTCATATATTGCCCGACATAAGGCAGCAGATGCTGCAAATGTCATTTTGGGAAGGGTTGATCTGGGTTCCCAGCAGCCTGTTGGGACTGATTCTGCTCAGCCAACAGTCCAAGAGGAAGAGGAGGATGAAGAACAGGTGACGGTAGTAGAAGAAGAGGCAGGCGAAGAGGAAGAGGATTTTGGCTACATGCCTGTGTTTGATCAGTTAGTGAACTGGGAGCAGACCTTCAATGTAAGTCACTTGGACTTCCATCTGCTGCGAACAGACTGGATTGACCTGAATTGCAACACTTCAGGAAATCTGCTCTTGAGTGAGAAGGAAGCCTTAAAGATCACTCAAACATTCCTTAAAAAACTCAACCAGAAGAATAAAGGGTAAGATGGAAGGTGTCTTGAGGTTCCTTGAGGTTTGCTCAGGATAGGAACTGTAGCACAGAACATATGATGGGATGAAAATGTGGGTTCAAGATGAGTAGCCAGAAACACCCAGACTTCAATAGGAAATTAAGAACGGATTGGTTTTCTTTCTTACCTGTGAAGTTTTAAGGGTCTAGATGAGTAGCCAGAGATGCTTCCAGACCTCAATAGGAAATTAAGAACAGATTGGTTTTCTTTCTTACCTGTGAAGTTTGAACATATTTTCCATTAGTCTTGGGTAGCTACAAATACAGGGTGTGAATCCTCATTTCCATTTTCCCTGTAACCTTATTGTTTTGGCATTTCCACTTCTCAGCCGTGGTCATTGTCACACATGCAAACCTGGAGCCATACAAACTAATCTGCACATCCTTATTCCCTGCATCAGCACAGCCACAAGCCACTGGAGGGGGCTATAGGCAGTCCAAGCCAGGATGCAGAGCTTTAGCTGCTTGTGACAAGATCTTTCAGCATCGGACAATCCAGGAGAATGTGGAAAGTTTGTGATGGTGGAAAAGAAATGAAAGGGGGTGTCTGTGCTCCAGTTTTAATTCCAGTTCAGCACCCTTATGATAATTCTTGGGACTAGGCTTGGCCTTCTCTATGATCAGCACTTCTGCCAATCCAGAAACAATTCATTTGTCCAATCACCCTCCCTCCCACGCACATCACAGGAACGTTAGGCATTCCTTCCCAGGAGAAGTCGGAGATGCCTTTACTTTTTATGGAACTTATCATTTTTGCAGGGGAAGAGGTGGTAGGTGGGCATATATGGGAAAACACTGGCATAGTGTAGATGTTTGGACCATCTGACTGCTATTTTAGAACGCAACCAGAAGTTAACAAGGCAAAGGATAAAGTGTGGATCTTGAAAGATTTCTGTGGCTCTAGCCTGAAAAAGTGTGCTAATTCAGACACAGCTTAAGTTTCTAATGTGCAAACTTGTTACTATCAATTGCAGCCGGTTCCAGCTGCAGCGCATCTTGAACATAGAGAGGCGGAAGGACTACCTAAGGGGCAGCCGTTACCTGCTGGAGCTGGAGCTGTTGGAGTGGGGAAAGCATCCTGTCCGTTTCTCAGAATACATCTTTGCCCGGGGGTGGCATGGTTCTGGCAGCAACGAGGAGCAGTGGATGATGAAGGAGCTAGCGTGGGGACGCAGACGTCACTTGATGGCCAACAGGGATGAGCCAGTCCTGTGCTGGCCATCAGGCTTTTCTTGGAATCACCGTGCTGTTGTCCACTTCATTGTGCCAGGTAGGCAGGGAAAAAAAAATTTGATCAATAATTTGTGAATGCTTGGTGCAAAGAAAATGTTTGTTTTTTTTAACGTTCACATATAGCCCTTAACACTTTTCATGTACAAATATAGCCCTTAGCACTTTTCGGTGCATTACCTGATACTGAAACTTACTCAATTTCCTTCTGAAATGGTTTCTTCTACTAAAGATTGTATCTCTCTCTCTATGAGCCTGCTTGGGCATTGAGATCATCAGGAGAGGACTTTCTCTCAGTCCCACCACTGTCACGGGCACACTTGATGGGGATACGGGAGAGGGCCTTCTCTGTCAAGTTGGGGGTAAAATATTTTAAATAAATTAATAAAGATGCAGCTGAAATTTGGACAATCAACACTGGAATTTAAGTCTTCAATTCCCTCTGAGCAAGCTGTTTCACTGTTTTCTTTCATAAATTTCTTTGCATTCTGTCTTGTAGCACGATAGAGGTCCATTTGCATCTTTAGCAGCTGGGATACCATTCAATTATTTTAAAATGTAAATGTAGTCATCTGCATTATATGGAGTAAGACTAGACATTGATCTAGCATCTTACTGGAGATACCATCCATGAAGACAAAATCATTTAAGGTGTGTGCTGTATCCGAGATCTAGTACAGCTCCTCTTGTATCCTAGCTTAAATAGAATTCTGGAAGTGGGAGAGTTTCTTGCCTATTCGGTAAGTTGAATCGTTCTCAAAACCAGGTTTGTTTTGATCTTGTTCCTCCCTTGATCTTTTTGTCATCAGTGAAAAACCAAGCACGTTGGGTGATTCAGTTCATTTCTGACATGGAAGAGCTGTATAAGCTTACAAAGGACCCCTATTTCAATGTCATCATCACAGATTACAGCAGTGATGACATGGACATAGAAAAGGCTCTGAAAAGATCCAGTTTGCACAGGTAAGAATATGTTTCTTGCAAGAAGCACATCTACACACTAGTGGATGGATCATGATATACACAGTATATAAGGAGTCATAACTGAAGCAATAAGGAAAGTTATGACTGAAGCAGTCATAACTGTCTATATTGGATAAACTGTTAATAATGGACTATGGGACTATTTTGCACAACCTTCTCCCCACCTCCTACTCCTTCTAAAGTCAAATTCTTTTTGCTGAATTTAACTACTGTTAGAAATTGCTAGCCTGGGCTTAATTCAGTAAGTGAAGCCATAAGAACACATGTAAGGACTTACCACTGGTCTGATTCGTGGCTCAGCAGAGTGGTGGGGATGAGAAATGGCAGGTTCTACCTTCAGGCAGGTGTGCAGCTGACAGGAGCTCTTGTGTAACCAACAGGCCTCTGGAAGCTGCTGGAAAGCTCCCAAGCCAATGAGGAGTAGCAAGGCAGGCACAGTCAAAATGGACCTGAGAGCAGTTGTTTTCTCTCTGGTCTGCTTGGTGGTTACAAAAGCAGGCACTCTCATAATGGAGCAGCCATCTCAGGCTGGCAGTTGGAGACACCATCTTCCTCTGGTGTTGGGTCAGCATGGGAATGGGTCCAGGGGTCAAAGAAGACGACCAGCGGAGCTGGCGACCTCCCCCTAGTATTGTCTCTGGAGCAGTATTAATTCCAGTTAGAACTAACTAGGTTCCAGCTTAACTTTAGATTTGTTAAAATATAGGGTTTTTTTTGTTTTGAAATAAACAGAAATCATTGTCATCTCTAATGGAAGTTGATGTAGACTTGGAGTCAGGAAATGAAACAATAGAGGAAACCACTTCTGATAGCTTAGCAGTTGCACACTTCCAATACACTTTCCTTCAGGAACTAAGTATATTTTTGTCTTTTTTCCCATGACACACATTGTCATGTGGCTTTTGTGCTTCCAAGGCTTACACAAAGCTATTAAAATGTTTTCCAGAATCCTAATGGGTTTTGCATACATTTTGCATAACTTGCTGTGGTTAGTTGATGAGATACTGGATCATGTCCCAGTTGGATGCTTCATTATGCTCCCAGTTGCAGAACTGAGATGCACCCCAATACCTCATTGATTAGCCACAATTAACCCCACTAAAATACACAAACCTTATATTACGTATTAATAAGATTATAGCCATGCCGTATACTCCAGTTTTCCAGAATAAATATTCTCCTCCTTTATTGAGCACTTTCTCTTTACAGTTTGATTTACAATGTGATATTCCTATTGTTTCTCAGATGGAAAAATGGAATTGAGCAATAAATGATTTGTTTAAATCAAACAGTGACATACTGTATCAGAAATCAGGCGGTGGATCCATTTCTTTGTCTACAGGATTTCCTTGGATCTCAACTACTTTGGTTCCATTTTATACATGGTTATGATGAATAGCCCAGTGCTTGATGATAACTGCCAAGTGGGGGGGTTGTTTTATTAGTAAAAACATAATCCAGTTTTTGTCTGACTTCTCTTCAGGTACCAATACTTGCGACTGACAGGTAATTTTGAGCGCTCAGCAGGACTGCAAGCTGGGATAGATCTAGTGAAGGTGAGTGATGATAGCTTGGAGGTTCTCAGATGCAGAAAGTGAGATGGTATGATGAAAATTGGTGATGGGAAAATATAACAATTTAGTGAACCTTTCCTCAAAGAAGGCAGATCACATGACCAGAATCTGAAAAAGCTGCTTGCATTTGACCTAGAGGACAGAAAATGGATTCAGCTGAAAGGGACACTGAGAAATGTGTAAATCCTTTTCATATATCTAGATGAAGATTGAAAAGTAGAAAATAGTTCTGAGGAGAGAAGAGGAATGGGGAACCTACAAGACAGTACATTTGGGATAAAGTTCCAGCTTCAGGAATGATTTAGTAATGAAAAAAACTTGTCTATAAATTTAGCAGTATCTGTTCTCCTGTGAGCTTTCATAAAAATATTGGGAAACTATCTGCTCCAAGGAAAAAAGAAGACTGAAGGCTGTAGTCTTTCATTGACCAAACGTGGAAGATTCTTTAGTGGACCATCTCAAATATTTCAGAAGAAGACCCAGCAGGCATCAATATTATCAGGGTTTTTTTATATATGTGGGGTTTTACAGCAGGGAATATTGCTTTAATGGCTCATTATGTCCCTTTGAGTGTTATGAGTCTCTCTTCAGTTCTTTCTTTCATGGGTGTGTCTATTAATCTTTCCACTCATGCATGCATGCTCCCCTGAAATATGTGGGGATGGGAGTCTGATATCTCTGTGGCTCTGCTTACAGGATTCACACAGCATCATTTTCCTGTGTGATCTACACATCCGATTCCCGGTAGAGATCATTGACTCAATTCGGAAGCACTGTGTTGAAGGGAAAATGGCCTTTGCACCCATGGTAATGAGGCTGAACTGTGGTGCATCCCCAGAGCAGCCTGACGGTGAGGAGTTTGGGGCGGATGGAGGAGTAATTCTTTTCACTCATTATCAATGTAGCATTGAATGGTCTTAATAAAACTTCTGTTCTGACTCAAAGATGTGCAGACTTCAGGCTTATGGGCTTGAGTTCTTAAAATTAGAATTCCAGAATCAACAAGCCGATGCCTTTGGAAAGAGAAACAACTCTTAGAATTAAAGAATTCTGATCCCAGATATTAATTTTCGGGAATGAAGCTCATGGGCCTTCCATACAATAATCTCCTTTTTGTTATCCATTTCAGTTGCCTGATGAATCATTTTGTTGTACTTACAGTTGAGCAAAAGGGATCAAAAATACTTCTCTGTATACCAAATGACACCTGCAGATCAAGAGCCATCCGTAGTCTAGGAGTTGAGCAAAAGGGATCAAAAATACTTCCCTGTATACCAAATGTCACCTGCAGATTCCCTGCAGATCAAGAGCCATCCGTAGTCTAGCTTTACAGAGATGGTTGAAATGATATTATTTGATTCTGGCATGCCTAAAAAAAATTAATTGAGAGACATACAACTCCTGTTCACAGATACAGCATGGTAAATAGTGAGAGCACCAGCTATCCTTTCTCTGTATTTGATTCTGGCATGCCTTAAAAAAAAATTAATTGAGAGACGTACAACTCCTGTTCACAGATACAGCATGATAAATAGTGAGAGCACCAGCTATCCTTTCTTGTCCCTACAGTTTATGGGGTGACATTGGAGCAGTCATTTTTCAATATAACCTCTGTCTCCAGAAATGACAATACAGCATATGCTACCTTGATATATTTCGTGGTAGTGCAGTAAATACATTCATGGGGAATACGAAAAATATAGTTTTAATTTTATGAAATATTTATGTCACACTTTAGTGTCATGTGTCTTTTTTTCTCTTTCATATCTGGGTTAGACAATTTGGATTAATTTACCCTTCACCTGCCACATTGCACTCACAAAGGGCTGGCTTTCATAGGCACTGGAAGTCCTCAGTTATATTTCCGATGCATGGACCAATAGTTATGCATTCCCGCTGTCTAGAACAAGATAAAAGGTCCAACACAGGAAAGGTGTTGGCAAGAAAACCACATCTGGATTTTATTCATAAAGTTTCAACTGCATATGTCCATGTTATCTGTATCTGAAATCCTTGCTGCTAAATATTGAGACAATGCATTTGTGGAATATGATGGATGATACAACATAGAAAATAGTAGAACAGGAGGAAATTTTGTGGCATCATTATATTGGAATACCTTATATATGATACATTACAAAATACAGTATAGACCAGTTTTATGCTGTCCCAGTTTTTTGCTGTTAAGAGTTCCATCTTGATGATACTACTGGTGGTGGTGGTGGGGTTGGGGCTGCGGGTGTGCTGAGATTGGGACTGGGTTTCGTTTGGTATTGTTTCTATGAATTAGCCTGTTAACATAGTGATCTGAGAACTGTCTGAGTGAATGAGGGAGACAAGGAAAGGAAGAAAGAGAGAATGTAGATGTGACTGATACTGTTGCATTTTACCTTTGTAGGCTACTGGGAGGTGAATGGCTTTGGTCTCCTGGGTATATACAAGTCTGATCTGGTTCGCATTGGAGGGATGAACACTAAAGAGTTCCGGGAAAAATGGGGAGGAGAGGACTGGGAACTCCTGGACAGGTCTGTATGGTTGCACCAGATATCTCTGTAAACAGGCTCAGTAGCCCATTCATTTTTATTACTACATTTTGATTACTCCAAGCCCTTCTGGGGGAACAGCTTTTCAATCACCAGAATTCCCTTTTAAGTTTTAGAACAGTGGCACAGAAGCATTGTTCTGAATCCCTAAATTCCATGGGAAACAGTTGGGGATGATGCTGATGTGGTGAGCTACACATTCCTTCCATGCTTGGTCCTGATTTCTGCAGTTAGCATTAATACAGCATGAAATATACTGTTGTTGTCATTTAGTCTTTAAGTTGTGCCCGACTCAATATACTGTAGGTGACTCCAATTATATTGTGATTGTTCTCTTTCCTGTCCACTGATTCTCTACTTTGGCAGGGGGGATGGGACATTTTGAAAGAAATAATCTGTTCCTCTGTAGCCTCTTTCATTTCCAGGACAGTCATAGTCACGTGGAGGTGGTGTTTCTGTCCTGTAATGGCACATAATGGAAGGAAACTAGATTAAAAGTTTGGGATGCAAAAATATAAAACCAACAAAATTCTCAAGTATAATTCCCTCCCCCTTAAACATTTTAAAGTGTAACTCCCTTGGGAGAGAAGGATCTAACCAACAGCCCCTGGGGTGAAATTTGAAACCTACACTCATAACTTGCATTTATATCCTGTATTCTGCAACTCATTCTTAAGGATCACACCTGGCATGGACATTTGCCATGACTTTTGAGAGTTTTCTGTTTCTCCCTACACTATCCACAATATATCGGTACCCAGTGGGATGAAGACTGATATGGATCAAAATCTACCAATTTTATTATTTTACTTTCTTGTGGTCTAATAAAGGTATTGCCTGCTCTTGGTTTTATATTCTGTAAAGACAACACTGCTTTATTTATTTTTTCCTTCCATCTTTTTCCTCTAAATGAGCATGTTGCCTCTGAATGTTGCCAGCACAGGACAGAAAGCAAAAAAGATGCCTTAATTTTAAACTGAAAGGGGGAGGCAGAAGATTATACTAGAATCAATGTCTGATTTACATTTAAATTATAGGCATTGGAACTACAGGTATCACTTGCAAGAAAAGGCCTGATGACTGCTTGATCCCAGGATTTGGATCAACCCCTATCATTAACCACCAAAGGCAGGAGATTTTGGGGAGTGGCAACTTTCCCAACACACCAGCTCTCTGACAGGAGAAAATATATATATAAACCTGGGTGGGCAGTTGTGGCTCTCCAGATATGTTTGACAACAGCTCTCGTGATCCTCCACTCTCAGCTATGTACTGACTAGGGCTGCTAGAAGATGCAATCCTATAATATCTGGGGAGCCACAATTAGTCATTCCTGATCTAAAGCCTCTCTCAACATCTCAGCCTTCTGAAAGCAAGTTTAGGATTTTGTTTGTTGAAATCTCTTCCCTTTCCTCCCTCTTCTTTCACAGAATCATGCAGGCTGGCCTGGAGGTAGACCGTCTGTCTCTCAGGAACTTCTTCCACCACTTTCACTCCAGGCGGGGTATGTGGAACCGTCATCAGCTGAAGATATGATAGGCGTCTGCAGTTCAGATCCCGCCATGCACTTTACCAAGGTCTCTCATCAAGTGTACACTCTCCTGTAGAAATCGTAGCATGAGTTCAGATGATCACAGATGTTTGTGTTTAATAAGAAAAGCGGTCAAACCATGGAACGCAGACCCTTCCTTTAGAGATGGAGGCAGAATCAGGGAGAAAACAACCCTACCTCTTCTACCCACTTTCAAAAGTATGGACAAAACAGCATCACCAGCACAATGTAAGAGTGCTTTTGAGAAGTATAAATTTTATCATGCATTTCTTTCCCCAGCCCAAACCCCACAAAGTCTCCTTTTTATAGTTTTTCTACTCGACTGAAATGTTTTCCATGGCTGGTTGTGTCCTTGAAGGATAGCTCTTCAACCAACATAAGGCAGAATATTCCAGTGAATGGGTACAAATGAAAATGTTCCAGAACTGGAGTACATAGAACACTGTGTTTGCAGGAGAATTATACCCACTCTGGGTTATTTTTAATGATACGTCTTCTTCTTTCTGAAGATACTTGAACAAAAGGACGTATTCTGAATTTCATGCCTTTGGACCAAAGTCCATTAGTTCTCCAGTACGGGCTGCATCGGTATACCTGTACACATCCTCAACTAGGACTCCCTGAGGAGCAAATGGGTTCCTCTTGTCGTTTGAAGCTCAACTCAGGTACAGCAAAAGGAACGTGGGCCTTTACCAAAACTGTTGTGCCTTTCCTTTGTAACTGCCAGCATCTTCCTTGGATTAATCAACATCCCGTTTCATTGAATCATGGTTAAATTGACTTGAAACCAAGCTCGGACTTGAGTACATGGTTGACACAAATTGATCCTGACAATCATTGGAATGTGGCTTAGAGAACAAAGAGAATCAGAAATATGGACATGAGACCAAACCTTTCTTTCTTGAAACTGATGTGTAGCCCTGCACTTGAGAGATTCAAACACCAAGCAGTCTTAGACAGGTAGAGTAAAATGTCGATACCATAGAATTCAAAGTTTTTATATGCTTTTTCCTATTTATTGTACAGTTTCAGTGTTGGTTGGTTTGCATTCTTATTTTAATGTGTTGTAAACCACCCTAAGGAAAAAGTCATTTTGAAGGGCACGATATCATTTTTTGTACAATAATTAATTTATGATTTATTATTCTCTGGTAATTGATTGTGCATGAAGAATAGGCATCCTTGTGTCTTTGAAGCATACAGAGGGGATTGAAGTTTTAGAAGGACCAGAAAGGATACTTTCTTCATACGAATTGACGTGAGATTTGGGCATGACACACTCAGGAAATATATAAGGAAAATAAACTATGGATCTGCACCAGATCCTTGCCTAATATAGATATAGATTTGTGTATAGTTGAGGAGTTGTGAGTATGACAGAGTATGTGTAAATGAGAGAGAGAGAGAGAGTAAGAGAGTTTACCCATAGGTTTGCATTTTTGCCTTAAGACAAACTGTGGGATATTTTATGTTACTCAAGAATCAGACTCTGCCACACTGCTCCATCATCCAATTATGATCTTAGATGATAACTCCAAATCCTTCCACTTGTAGATCTTGAAGACTCATATACTGTGCACTTAGTGACAAGATGCAGCCCAGAGGAACCAGCAGTGTGTTATATGGGAATCTGGTCCCCAGCTATGTGAGGGAGGAAGACATATTTGAGCTCAATTTATCCATGCTCTGGAAAATGCTAGTATCTTAGCTGGGAGACAGCACTATATTTAGCCATCATGATATGAAGTTATTTGGTATAAGTTCAGAATTTCCAGGAAATCATCTACAATTGAAATATAATGAAATAAGGTGGGGGGGCATGTGGCCATTACAAAATACAAATGCAAGAATAGGCAATATCTTTATTAGTGGCCTTTAAAGGTATTGGCGTTCTGTGTCTAGTTGCGCTGGCCACGTGATCACGGAAACTGTCTACGGACAAACGCTGGCTCTATGGCTTGGAAACAGGGATGAGCACCCTAGAGTCAGACACAACTGGACTAAATGTCAAGTGGAACTTTACCTAAAGGTATCACCTGTTCTTGCAACTGAAATCCAGTTTTCCTACAAGGAATCTTAACATTAGTTGCTTAGAGAAAACAAGGTTTTTTCGACAATCAATCCTGGGTTGATTATCCATCTCTCTTCATGCATTTAGGTAAGTATAAACTATAAAGCAGTTTTGCAAAACACCGTTAAAGAAATAAACTGACAGCCATCTGTAGAAAAGTGCTGGGTTAATACTTGAGGCAAACAAAACATTTGGGCATTAAGGCCAGTTTTAAAGGCTGCATCATAGTGGAACAAGCTACTTATGCACTCCAGAATCATGCAATCAAAAATGTAGGTCAGTGTAACTAAAATGCCTCAGACTAGGGAATCACAGACCAAAGGATGATAGAATTGTAGAGTTGGAAATTATTCCAAGGGGTATTGAATCCAACTCCATGGTGAAGCAGGAAATCCACAGCTAAAATGCCCTAACAGATGGTCATTCAACCACTGTTTCACAACCTCCAAAGAATGAGTATCTTCCACCATCTGAGATAGTCCATTCTGTTGTTAAACAGCTCTTACTGTCACAAAGGTCTTACTAATGTTTAGTCAAAATCTGCTTTCTTGTAATCTGGAACCATCGTTTCAGGCCCTATGCTTTGCAGCCATAAAAAACATGCTTGGTTCAAACTCCATATAACAGTTGTTCAAATGTTTAAAAATACTATCATACCTTTCAGCCTTCTGTCCTTATTTTTTTAAAGCCTTCTCTTTACCATGATTAACATACACACCTCCTTCAAATGATCTTTAGGGCTTGATTTCCTAACCTTTATCATCTTGCTTACCCTCTGGACATTTTCCAGCTTGTCAAGGTCTTTCTTAAACTGTGGTGGCCATAACTGAGCACAGTTTTCTAACTGAGGTCTGACCAAACTGGAATAAAGGGCTATTATTAGTTCCCCTTGCATCCTAATACTGCATTTTTTTTGCAGCTCCATTATATTCATTACTCATGTTTAGCTTGTTGTCTACTAAGATCAATAGTTCATTTTTCACATATAATGTTGTCAAACCAGCTATAACCCATTCTGTATTTGTGCATGTGATTTTTCCTGCCTAGATGCAGAACTTTACATTTTTCCCTGTTGAAACTCATTTTATATTTTTGGCCCAGTACCCTTACTGGTTACTACCCAGTAGTGCCCTCCACCAAGTTACTACTGGCATTGATATAGCTGGGTCAAGCTTATATCTGTCAATATTATTACATAAAATTGTTATATGAGAGGGTGACCATATGGTTTGATAAAAACAGATAAGGTGAGCTCTTTGCCCTCCCCTGGCCACCCCAGAATTTGTGCATTTTTAACATATAGAGCCTTTTCTACATCCACTGGTGCACACTGCACATGTATAACTATAGGAAAGCAAGCTGGCAGCAACAGCCGATTCATTTGCTATTTCCTCTCAAAGGAAAATCAGGCACTGTTCATATCAAATTATTTTATCTAAATATCCATCTGTCTAAAGTTGGCCACTGACTGGCATACATTCTAAAACAGCCAGAACTCCTGATTTTCACTTCCAAAATCTAATCTGCGTGCTTGTATTTTACAACCACAGGTAGACATGTTTAATATTATATCAAATCCCCTGCAGATTGTGGTATCATATTCCAGGGTATTCTGTATATGAAGTACTCAGAAGTGGTTCCTGATTCCAGTGGCACTGCAGGGCCATGAAGCTTGTCCATATATAGTCTCCTCTGCATATATAGGCTTCGTGGCCCTATATACGCAGGAACTGAACTTCCCAACAAACTTTTGTCTCACAGATGCAAGTACAGTGTCAGCTTTCTCTAAGATAGTGCAATAAATACAGTAAGCCATTAGAGGCAGGCATGAAATACTTCTTGCTCCTTTGTCCCAAGTCATTGGCTTTCCCCCACCCACCACACCTAGCAGCTCCACTCATCAGCTAGCATGTACTGCTCCATCCTTCACTGTTTTATGATCAGATAGCAGGTGAGGCAGGGATTCCTGCACTGCTATCTTTGAGTGGCCAGCTGCTGGAGGAGGCAGAGAAGGGAAGTCCGGGCTCCTGCTCAGACTGGAATATTGCGCAACAGGGAGGGACAGAGCAGCACTTGCCGGATAGGGAGTAGAGGGGAGTGGAGTGGGATAAAATAACACATATCTACACTATGCTGCTGTGTAGATAAGCCAAAATTTAAAAGCAAGGCAAAGTGTGTTCCTTATTAATTCAGGACTACTGTTTGATTTAATTATTTGCAAGCCTAATTGGTTTAATAGTTTGATGTAATCCATGAGTTCTAATATAGCTTATCAAACACTGCGGGTGGGAACCAGGGTTGGTTTCTCATTTCCAGTCAAGGGCAGAGGCAGAAGTGAAGGAGGTTGCTGAAAGAATCTGTCACCCAAATATACTGTTGTTTGAAGTACCTCTCTCTCGTTGCAGTTAACTATTTGAAATGTTGTTTGGTGTTTTTAAGTTCTGTATTGCACCTCTGAAATGCGTGCCTTAAAAAGGACCCTCATATTTTCCTTTCTTGCAAGAGGAAACAGAAGAATCTACGTCATATTATGAATACAGATTTCTTACTGAAATTTTGTCTTGTGACTTTTTGTCGATCTGTCTAACATTCTCTAACAATAAAAACTTAGAACTTGCCTTTTCCTTTACTGTCAAATAACAGGCATAAATTTATATTAAAATATGTTGCCTGATTCCTAGTTATGCAGACTGGGCAGAATAAAAGAGGAAAATATTTGTGTGCTTTAATATTCCCCTCCATCAAATAATGTGCTAGATTTACAATAGGGCAAGTGAAAGTCCGTCCCCCACCCCGCCAGGGATGGCTCTATCCAGCACAGATATTCACAGTGCACATAGGTAATTCACCTGGATGGATTTCAAGGACCGGTCACCACTCAACCTATTTATTTATTTAAGCATTTATAGCCCATCTTATCACAGGATCTCAGGGCAGATTACAAAACTGTTAAAAGAACAATTTTTAAAAATAAGATAGTTTAAAATCAAACAGCAAAAATTTAAAACATTCACACATTTGTAGAAACATTTAAAATGTCACTTTCTCTCTTCTCTTGATGGCTGGGTTCTCCTGGAAAGTCCAAGGAAAGTGACACACAAGAAAAGTTAACTTTTTTTCAGCAGCACTGACCATTCATTCAAGCCTTGCCCTTAGCGAGGCAAAAATCTCTTTCTGCAGCAATCCTTGGTCTGTATTTATTTTTTGCCAGTGCTCTTTGAAGAGACCAGTCATTGAGGAAACTTGCCTTGGCCTTAAAGATGGGAGGACTTCACACACAAAGGAGACTATATCCATACTGTTAATCGACACTGGTACTGGGGCAGTGCTGCAGTTTTGCCAATTGTGTTGCGATTGGAATTTAAAACATTGAACTGCAATGCTCAGAGTGTGAACTTGTTCTAAGACTCTCACTAACTATTCCCCTGCATTGAATTGGATTCATGAACCCAGGAACACACCTTCAGATAAAATATACTTTTTAATAAATAAAGAGAAATCAAATAATATTTGAAATATGCAGGAGAAAGTCCAGTTCTAAGCAGGATAACAATATTGTAAGTCCTTTTACAATAATGGACAAAAGGACAAAGAGCTGTCTTGAAAAAATAAACGTGTTTCCAGAATGTTGAACTACTTACAGAGAGAAGGTTAACTTGAACAGCCTTCAGATGCACATGATTATGAACAATATTATGATTTAAACTAGCAAATGTTTCAAATGTAATATAGCACCAGATACGTGCTGGTGGTTACTCTGATCTGATCATTATATGAACATAACTATCAAAACTAACCAAAATATATAGTACAATTAAGATTCATATTACATATGGTAGCCATTTGAACTTATGGGTACTGATTCCCATGGTCTGTGCATGTGGCATTGCTTCTCCTGCTGAACATCACATGGGACCTTTGCCTAGCAGGGGAATCCCACATATATTGTGTCAGCACCTTAGCAAGAGGCAGACTCTGTCTGCCCTGGAGTCTGCGTACCACCACTGATCCCTGGCTCATGGCCAGAGGGTTGTTCATGTAGTACGGCAGTGGGCAGCCTTTCTGCTGAGGGGCTTGTTCCCTTGGAGGTGAACCTAACCATGCTGGCAATGGGTGAGGCTGAAGCCTACACGGACTGCTAGGAAACAGGTTCTGCCAGAGGCCCAAACGAATTCCTCTAAGCCTGTTTTTTTTAAATTAGGTCAAAGGCACATGCAGCCAAAGGACCATGGGTTGCCCACCCCTTGGTATAATGAAGAGCTGAGGAAACTTCTCCCCCCACCCAGACTACAGCTCTCATACTACTCCAGGTACTCCAGGAGGCAGACTCCAGGAAGTGAGTTTCTACCTCTGTGATGTAATGTTGCAGTCCTTAGATTTAAGGCAGTTGAGACAGACTTTTCTTTGAACTAAAGCAGGAGTTATGTATCATCCCTAGATGTAACTATATATATTTAAATTTAATAGCTCCCTTATCCATTAAGGAACCCATGACATGTGTTCTTTTGTGAGTCATTGCACCAAACAAACTACCTCCAAAGGCTAGGTTGTCTGCATAGGAGAGGTGAGCCAAACATAATCAGCAGAAACACCTGGGGTTAGCTAGAGAGGTGCACTGCTATCTTGTGTTGCTTGCTTCCAATCAGAGACATGGGGCAGCCTTTTGTCTGGTTTGGTGAGGGGTCAAGCTCTGTGCTCATGGAAGGCATCATTCAATTCATTATTCAGTTCACTAATTTCTTGATTCATAACACATCACTGCACCCTGGATATGCTTTGAGATTAATCTTTGCTTTGCTCTAATCTTTGGCTTGACTAGTTGTAGCACGTTTTGTACTTATTGCAGCTATAATCAAGTTTTGTATTTTCATTTTTTAAACTACTGCCACTTTATAAGGACTGCTTCTGCTACCACTGAAGGATGGTTTTACATCCTTTAGTATGGCTCCCTTTCCTACTAGCTAGGCAAGACTAAGTTGTATGCAACCTTTGTGCAGAACTACATGTGGATCTCATTGGAGGATGATGGCAAACAACTGTGGGCGGGGAAGAGGAAATTCTCATTGTTAAATAAAAGACTGCTTTCTGATGGCAGAAGAGAATTTTCTGACTCTTCAGACCTGCACATTGACTGGAGAACCAGCCCCTGGGGAGTAACTCTCATAAGCCTGTAATACACTTTAGCTATAGGACGTTGCCTGCCACACATGGAACATCAGATCTGAGGTCACTAAAATGACAGAAAGGCATCCTGGGTATCCACCACGTCCTCCAGCCTGCAAAGAAAATCAAAAGATTCAGGGAGGTGTTGTATTCTACCTTTTTCCAACAATCCCTGATGAGAAGATGATGAAAAGGAGTGGGAACCTTCAGGAAGGAACTCATTCCCTAGAGACTTGCCAGGCAAATCCTCCGCTCAGTGTCACAGTGACCTTCCTTGTCCAAAGGCTGTTCCAAAATAATCCCAGTTCTCTCTATACAGAGCTTAGAAAAGTGATATTTAGGCCATAACCTCCAGATTCCCTAAGCCAACATGGCTGCTAACTATGGATTCTAAACATAGTCCAAAAAACAAACTTTCCCAAGCTCTGAATCTCTGGTTGTTAGGCATCCTTCAGTCTCGAGAGACTATGGTATCGTGCTGTGTATGGAGGACTTGGAACAGCATCTAGTGTGGCTGAGAAGGCCAATTCGAGAGTGACAGTCCTCTCCAGAGCACGAAGCCTGGGTAAAATAATATGGATGATAGGCTGTTACCCAAGCAGCAAATCCCCCCTCTCCACGTCGCTGAAATAGTCCAATGGAGAGGCAAGAGCCAATACAACTGGTTCCAGCAACATTGCAGGAGTTGGCAGAACAACACGAACAGCCTTCGGGACTCCAGCTCTGGATTTTGCCTCGAGGTTAACTCCTGAAGCCTTTTCCATCAGTGGATATAGCCACAAAGCAGTGGAGGTTTGAAATCGGAGTTTTCCTTCTCCTAGAATCTCTGGTTGTCATCTCTAGATATATGTGATATCTATTATTTTATAAATTTAAAATTGTAATTGCATATGAATTGTCTTCTATACTATTTTAGTATTAATAGGAGCCTACTGGCCAGAGGCGAACGAACGAACGAATGAATGAATGTCTTACTAGTATCTGGTGCTTTGATTTCAGATTTGGCCACACGCAACTAGGCTGGTAGGCCACACGCAACTAAGCAGACACTCCACACACCCCACCCCACGCCCACACACCAACTTCTCCATTGCCATCCCATGCTACACAGAGGATTAGGAGAAGTCTGTGCTCTACAGCAGGACATCCTTGAAAATTGGATGGAGACATATTTCCTAAGCAGAACTCCTGCCTTTGTGCCTCCTGGAGACTACCCTATTCCTTGGCGTTAAGCCACCCTCACAGTTACAGGAGACCCCACAGTCTGTTTTTATAAAATTGTTTCCTTTCTGCCTCATAGTGAACAAGCCCATTAATATATTGTAGGTCCCTCAACCTCCTGTCTACATTTTTTACAAGCCAAGATTCTTGTGAATATTTGGGGAGAAGGGAATTAAAATCTACTTTTGTTCATTCACTTGCAAATGGGCTTAGTTGTACATTTCTAAATCTGCATGTAATCCATTCTTAAAAGCATTTTGTCAATCTAAAATGTCCTCCAGAGTGACACATTTCAGAAACAATTTTTTTAAGTGCAAGTGAATGTGCAAGAGAGATTAGGACCAAGAGTTAAGCAGCTGGATAGCAAGTGAAATAAGATGTATGAGATACCTAATTTGCTCAGGTGGCTGACTGGAGACACATTTTGAGCTAAGGCAGGGTCACAGAGAAGTAATAGGGAGAAAAATATCAGCATACCCTCCCCTCCTTATTCTTCCAGGGCTCAGTACAGTCTCCGACCGTAAGGGCTTGGATAGAGGCCTGTCTTCTGCACCCCAAAGGCCGTAATGAAGATGTTGACAATGACTGTGACAAAAACCAGGATTGTGGCAATGTTGTTGAGCAAGTCCAGGCGTTGTTGCTTTGCTACATCATTCAGGTTCAACCGGGCTATGAGGACAGAAGACAAACCAAAGTCAGAAGAAAGGTGAAAAACGTTGAGAGCTAACAGACCACTCTTCTATAATACAGTACAATACTGTACTGTAAATACATGCAGGGCCAGAGTGAGAGACGTGTCTTCATCACAAGATACGTGTTTATTGTGAGCTAGAGCAAAACAGCCATTTCCAGTTTCTAAGAAGGGGAGCAATGAATTTTGACATTAGGAAATTTCATTCAGGGGCTGAACGTAGACTTCTGGAAACACAATTTGACATCTTTAAAGAGTAAACATTATTGATATGTGGAAGGTGGGTTAGAGTACTGAGTTAACTAGTAGGGATGGGATTTTCAGATTTGTTGGAGTACAAATCCCATAATTCTCCATTCTGGGAGTTCTACCTGACAGACTCCTAAATATGACTCACCTGGAAGAAAAGCCTAACTGGAAGGCTTTGAGGCCTAGCTCCTCCCAAGCTTCCAGTTCCTACCCCAGAGCTAGCTGGAAACTTTCTTTCTGGAAGGGAGCTAAGCCTAGCTAGGCCTCATAACCTAGTTTAGACCTTTCTCCCAGGTGAGCCACATTTAGGAATCTGTCTATTAGGTACAACTCTCAGTATGGTGAATTATGGGATTTGTATTAGAAAACAAAAACAAAAACCCCATTCCTAGTGCCTGTTGTTGTTATATGCCATCAGATCACAATGGACTTCCAGCGACCCTAATACTTTGTTTCCCTGAAAATAAGCCCTAATATGATTTTTCAAGATGCTGGTAATATAAATCCTCTCCCAAAAATGACCCCCAATTAAGTAAAACCCCGCCCTCCACCCTTGTGCATCAACCAGAAGAAGATGACAAAACCATATTTGAATAAAAATATATTGTTGTACATGAAAAAAAATCCCCCTGAAAATAAGCCCTAATGCATTTTTGGAGCAAAAATAATTTTTTTGCAGCAAAAAGCAATCCTTCATGGATTGCTGCCTTGTCATGGCGAAGGGGCTTGAGTAATTCAGAGAAGCTATGGGCTATGCCGTGCAGGGACACCTAAGTCATAGTGGAGAGTTCCAACTAAACGCAATCCACCTGGAGTAGGAATTGACAAGCCACTCCAGTATCTTTGCCAAGAATGCCCCATAATCAGAAACAAAAGGCTAAAAAAAAATTAATATAAGACCCTGTCTTATTTTCCAGGAAATACGGTAGGGCTTTTGAGGTAAGTGAGATATTTAAGAAGCATTTTTGCCAGTTTCACACAACCCCGGCAAGTTTCCAAGACTGATGGGAGATTCAAAACCAGGCCTCCTGAGTCTTAGTCTGTCACTTGGGGGAAAAAACCCATTCCTAGTGCCTGTTGTTATATGAGATTTATCGGAGGAATCCTGGCCTAGTCACTATCTCAAGACCACACTGGATATCCACAACACATAGTCTAGAATTGGTAAGATGTAGATTCAGGTCATCACAAAACTATGAGATTTATCAGAGGAATCCTGGCCTAGTCACTATCTCAAGCTAAGCTAGCCAACAGCAAAGTTTGTGGTTTTTTCCAATGGTGATTGAAGTTGCTATCCTTGTTCTGCTCACAAAAAACTAATGTAATTAGCAGCGCATTATGAACAATGAATTGAATATGCTAAATTTATAGCTCCAGATGCAAATTTAGGATTTTTCACAATTTAAACAACACTGCAGCACATTTTGCTCAAGTGAGAAAGACTGTGGACTGTGTGATTGCTGCATTTTCTGTCCAGATGCTCAGGGTGGATGATCGACTTTACGGTCCCCGAGCTCCCTCTTTGGGGCGCCTTGTGTTGAAGTCAGACTCGGAATGGCCAGTCCTTGAAGTGGAGGAGACCTTCAATGGCAGCCATTCCAGTAGAAAACTGTCATCCATACAAGAGGGCACATAGCTACCCTTTAAAAGGTGAATTCAGTGGCAAAACCTGCTTTCTTCTTCCTGATTTTAAGCCTGTAAGCCTCTCTTCAAAGTAGCCTGGACTGAAAATCAAACCCAATCCCTCAGATTATCCAGACCCAGTTTTGAAACAGCCTCAAAGATGATGAAAATAAGGTACAAAAAAAATTTACTTTTTTTGATGGCTTTGGTGCTGCATGGGGCAGGGAGCGGGCGGAGCAAAGGCCTGCATTCCTACACAAGGGGCTAGAAGTCAACAGGAGCTGTGCCTGTTGGGGACAGTTCACAATCAGGCCCTATATATAGAAAAGAGATTCTATTGAGGCACGAGGAGCTGCAGCTGTACGTAGTACCCAAGTGCATGACCTTGTCATTCCTTTCAGTGCCAAACACACAAGCCCACAAGCTGAGAAAGACAGGCCTGTGTTTATCATGTCAGGGGCGGACCTGGGTGCAGGCCAGACAGCTCTGGAGAATGTAGGCTTCTGTGCAGAACCAGAGGGGGCAGCCCAGGAATGTATGGCGCCAGTGAAAAAAGAGAACGGCAGACCACCCTAGGGGATTTAAGACATATGGGGGGAGGTCTAGGCTGGATGGTGGAACAGGATACAGTTTGGGGAGGGTGAGCTGGAACACTGAATGAACACATTAACATCTTCTATGAAGGAGATGTTTTTAGAAGTATTAACATCATGGGGAATTTTGAGCATTAGAGAAATATAGATTATTACTAAGGGGTGGAAACCAAATTCTGGACTGGGTAATATCGTTACTGGATCACCAAAAAAGTTACAAGCAAAGGCAGATTTTCAGGTTCTCCAGAAATCTTCATTTCAGATGGTATAAGATTTGGAGTTAAGAACAACAATAATTGGGTGGGGGCAGCTGTTATGGCCCAGGGTCATCAAGAAGGCCAGTTGGGGTTTGCACATTGCACATGAGATGTGTCAAGCATGCTGGTTGACAGGTTCTCCTTTCTCTGTGAAAACAGAAGCCCTGGCTACAGGGGTCTACCCTGTTCACCTCCATCTGTTCCCTCAAGCAAAGCACACAGGCCTCTGCAAGGACTTTGAGAGAGAAATGCAAAGCAAAGTAGGAATATTTTATGCCAGCAAGGCAGAAGTCCAGTTGCCATGACTCAACTTCCAGATAACCTCATCTGGATGACTGAGAATCTTCACATATACACCCTTGGGAGATATTGCAGAAGCTATTTTGGTCTACTTATTTTACTCACGGGAATTATTTATCCTGGGAGAACAGTATATCAGTATATCATACAGTATATCAGCCAGGAACAACTGGGAAGCTGGCCTTGTACAAACCAGTGGGGGGGACAGATGCCAGACTCCAGTTCCCATCAACCCCAGGCAGCATGGCACCATCGAAAGATCCACCCCTTGGCTATTCCTGGTAGAGAGGCTAAGAGAAGCCAATGAACAGAATGCCAGGACATGCAATCCAGCACCATCGAAAGATCCACCCATTGGCTATTCCTGGTAGAGAGGCTAAGAGAGTGAGCTGTAGCTAATCTGAATCTGCCTGCGGTTCGGTTCTGATGTGTCCACAAACTTATTCTGTGGCTTCCTGAAAGCAAGTACTGTACCTTTCAGCCACAACTATCCTGTGCCTCATCTACAACATGGGCATGATTATATCATCATCATAGAACTGTAAGGTTGGAAGGGATCCAATGGCTCATTCAGTCCAGTTTCTGTCAAGGAAGCACAGTGAGGAATCAAACTCCCAACCTCTGTCTCCACAGCCAGATACATTAAGCCAAACTATTGTCAGGCTTCCTGAAATAATTTCTGGCGGGGCAAGGAAAAATGTTTACCTTCTCTGCCAAGGGTTGCATTCCCCCAAGGTTAGACTGTTAAGGCTGGAGAGGGTCAGAGCTACCCACTTCTGTCCACACTCTCTCTGACTTGTGAAAAAGAATCCAAAGGGCCTTACCCATAATAATAAGGAGAATCCCAATGGCTGTCTGGAAGAAGAGAGAAATGGTGATGAGAGCTGTCAGGGCTGCGTAATATTGGAAGGATGGCCCTTGTTCCAGTACTGCCTTCAGCTGGGCAGCATTGGCCATGAAGAGGGCCACATCCAGCATGCTCTCAGCCACGCTTTTCTTTGTAGCGTAATGGTTTATGTTGATGATGCTTTCTGTCCTGGAGCCAGGATTAGAGGGCTAGAAGAGGAAGAAGAAAAGAGAGGTATCAAGAATGCAAAATTATTTTCCACTGCAAAATGTGTACTAGATCTTTATGAGGCCAGCTAAAGGTATTGCTAGATGAGACACTTCTACATTTAGGAGAGACGCATAAGAGCACACAATCTTGCCTGCTTCCATTGTTTAGCCACCCAAAACAAGAGAAACATGGTACTGCTATCAAGCAACAAAAGAAAACCCGTGTAGTCTAATTCAATACAAATTTTCCACAGAAACTCAATTTTCTTAAGGTACTTTATCAATCTAACAGCATGAATATTGCCGTGATTTCGCTTAATACAAAATTCATTCATCGAGACAAAGAGATCCACAAAGAAGCTGAAAAGTCTTTAAAAGAAGTGTTCGGTTCATATAATCTATTTCTTTTATATGCAAGACTTCAGTAAAGGATGCTCAATATTCACGTTCTTAGATTGATAAAGTACTTAGGAAAATAGAGTTATTCCAGGAAATGTGTATTTAGTTAGACTGCACAGAGTTTTTTTGTTGTTGTTGTTGCTTGAATCCACATTTAGCCAATTGCTTTTGTTTTGTAATTGGTCGACTGGAAGATGACACAGCTTTGTGTGCCTGTCTGAGGCACATAGCACAAAAAAATCTGCAGACTGTAAAATATGATCTGATAAAAAAACGCACAAAAAATAACGTCCTCCATTGGCCTCCAGCATCCCTCGTTAGGCTACATGAGCCTTCCTCAGCCTAGTGTCCAACTGAAGTGTCAGACTACAAATCTCATCATCCCCAGCCAGCAAGATTAGGCATCCTTCAGTCTCAAGAGACTATGGTAACGTGCTCTGTATGGAGGACTTGGAACAGCGTCTAGTGTGGCTGAGAAGGCCAATTCGAAATTGGCAATCCCTTCCACACTGACGACAAGTACAATCTGTCCCCTGTCCAGCTCCCTGATTTTGCTGGTTTCAGGACTGCCTCTTTGCCTCTGCCTGCTGGACAAGTGTCTCTTCAAAATGGGAAAGGTCATGACGCACCGCCTGCCTCCAGGCTGAACGCTCAGAGGTCAAGGTTTCCCATCTGTTGAGGTCCATTTCTAAGGCCTTCAGATCCTGCTTGCAGATATTATGGTATTGTAGCTGTGGTCTCCCTCTGGGGGGTGCTTTCCCTGCACTAATTCTCCATACAGGGGATCTTTCAAATCTGACCATCAGCCATTCTCATGACATGCCCAAACCAACATAGACATTGCTGTTTCAGTAATGTATACATGCTAAAAATTCCAGCTTGTTCCAGGACTACTCTATTTGCAACTCTGTCCTGCCAGGTGATACCAAAAATGCATTAGAGACAATGCATATGGAACATGTTCAGCTTCCTCTCCTGCCGCGCACAAGGGGTCCAGGACTCACTGCAGTACAGGAGTGTGCTCAGGACACAGGCTCTGTAGACCTGGATCTTGGTGTATGCCATCAGCTTCTTATTGAGCCATACTCTCTTTGTGAGTCTTGAGAACATGGTAGCTGCTTTGCCAATGCGTTTATCCAGCTCAACATCTAGGGAGAGAGTGTCAGAGATCTTTGAGCCAAGGTACACAAATTCATGAACAACCTCCAATTCTTGTGTGGAGATGTTAATAGAGGGAGGTGAGTCCACGCCCTGGCCTATGACTTGTGTTTTCTTCAGGTTGATTGTTAATCCTAAATCTTGGCAGGCCTTGCTAAAACAATTCATAAGTTGTTGGAAGTCTTCAGCAGAGTGGACAACAACAGCTGCATCATCGGCAAAGAGGAAGCCCTGCATGCATTACAGTTGGACTTTGGTCTTTGCTCTCAATCTAGAGAGATTAAAGAGCTTTCCATCTGTTCTAGTCTGGAGATAGACACCTTCTGTTGTAGTTCCAAAGGTGTGCTTCAACCTGAGAGCAAAAAAGATCTCAAAAAGGGTTGGTGTGAGGACGCAGCCCTGTTTCACTCCGCTTCGGATGTCAAAGGAATCTGACGTTGAGCCATCAAAAACTACAGTGCCCTTCATTTCCTCATGAAACGACTTGATGATTTTAAGGAGTCGAGGGGGGCATCCAATCTTGGGAAGGATTTTAAAAAGGCTGTCCCTGCTAACCAAATCAAAGGCCTTTATGAGATCTATGAAGGCCAGAAAAAGTGGCTGTCGTTGTTCCCTACATTACACCTGCAACTGTCTGAGGGTAAATACCATGTCAGTGGTGGATCTATTAGCTCGAACTCCACACTGTGATTCTGGATAGACTCTATCTGCAAGCACCTGGAGTCTCTTCAGCAAAACACGGGCAAGCAGCTTCCCTACAACACTGAGAAGAGAGATGCCACGGTAGTTATTGCAGTCACTCCTGTCTCCTTTGCTCATATACGGTGTAACGATGTTTGCATCCTTTATGTCCTGTAGTACTCTACCTTCCCTCCAGCAAAGACAAAAGATTTCATACAGCTCGGTGGTGATGATCTCTTTACAGCATTTCAGCACTTCAGCAGGGATTGCTGAAATGCTGTAAAGAGCATTCATTCCCAGTTTCCTTGCCAGAGGTGAAGGAATCCAAGACCGCTTTTATTTCTGCTAGAAATAGCCATCACAGCTATTTATTAAGTCCATTGGTTGCGGTCTTCTAAGACTAACTTTGTTTCCACACTCCACTCTTCCCTCTGAACAGAGAAGGTTTCTTCTCTTTCTTCTGAGTTCCCTCGACAGTTGGAAGGGGTGTGATCTTTGTTTTCTTTCCTTTAAAAAAATCCCCACTAAATCTTGGATTTGAATGAATATCCAAAGTTAACTCATTTCTTGGTTTGGTTGTCTTTTTTCAAGTTGGTTGGGTTTGTGAAACATTATGGACCACAAGGGGGAGTGCTGAGCAATGTCTGGCTTGTTGTTCGCTGACATGCCATGAATGGGCCAAAACAGGGATGCAGCAAATACTGACGTAAAAGAAGCAGAGTAATAATGTGACTTCTACTGGAGATACAAAAAAAAAAACTTTTTTGTACAATCCAAAGGACCTCGAGGTTTTTTTTTTTACAATGGTGTTCTATCAAGGGTATTGTATCACATCAGTTTAATTGTTATATAGATCCAAATAGGTCACTTCATTGCAAAATGGTCACACTATGGTTCTTTTTTAACTATCCAATGGTTTCAGAGATGGCAGAACAGGATACCTGTGAACTAAACATCCATTCACACACACACACACACAGAGAGAGAGAGAGAGAGAGAGAGAGAGAGAGAGAGATTTTCAGGGTCTGAAAACACTACCAGCTGAAACTTCTTCCCATCATCCCCAGGGTCAATGTCCCTAATCAATATGGCCCTTCTCCCATATTGTCTTTGCCTGGACATGAAATACAGAAAGAACTCTAGAACTCATGGTTATTGACTTGAAAGAACAGATCACAGAGGGAAGCACAAATCTCTATCTCTCTCTCTCTCTCCCTCTCTCTCTCTGACCAGTGTTACTATGGCATTGGATTTTTGTGCATCAGCTGAGTGCTGGACCAAATGGACTTTAATTTTTAATTAAATTTAATTAATATTTAATTTTACACAAGATGCCTGATTAGTATGTAGACTATGTCTAGATGGGCAGCATATAAATGCAATAAATAAATAAAAATAAAATAAATACGTTGTTTCGTTTCCAACAAGCTAATACATGTATATCCTCTGGATGTTGTTACAGTCAGCTCTCTCTCTCTCTCTCTCTCTCTCTCACACACACACACACACACACACACACACACACACACACACACACAGAGTTAGATCTTTGGGAAGGGAGGAAAGAAGCAAAAGGACACAAGTTTTTCATGGAAAAGAATGAGAAAGACCATGTGAATGATAAATAATCCTCTTTGAGGGTGTCTGCTGGCAGAGACTAGCTGCAGAGACACTTCATTAAAAGGCCATTAATTCCAAGAGAGACTCAGTGGAATGCCAAATAGAACACAGAGAGTCACCCAGGCAATTCAGTCGCAGAAGACAAAAGACCTGCAACATGTACACTGGGATGCAGGAGTCTAGGCACTTTGTAGTTGAACGATCAGAATGGGGTGTCTGAAGGGGAGGATACAGAACCTGGTGAGCATGGAGGTTTCAGCTGGAATTTGAGCCAGTAAACAAAGGACAAAAATGAAATGAACTATGAGCCTTGATTACAGAACCTTGTTCCTGGTTCCCAGTGTAATAGCTTAGCAGAAAGAGGGAAGCATGTTGTTGAATAGCAAACCATCCCCTGGTGTGGATACTATGTCAGCAACTCTTATTACTTGTCATCCTGTTCTTAAAATATAAAAAGACATCCATTTAAGAAACATGAGAACTCTTTAATTTTTAGGAATTGAGACAAGCTCTCATTTAGCTGCCTTGCAACTCTTGTAGAAAAGTGGTATGTAGGCAAAACTGACACTGCTTTTGAGAAGCCCCTTCGTGCCAACAGGGTGTCCCAAGTTGTATTATGACTCTCAGACACAGTGTTCAAAAATTCCAGAGTACAATATAATGTTAATAATCCTAAAATCTGAAAAACAATTTTTAAAATGAACCGCTGTAATTTAAGAAATCTCTATGTGCTGCATGACTCAGAATGCAACAGGTAAGGTCTATGGCAGTGGTTCCCAACCTTTTTTTTTTTTTTTTTGAGTCAAGGCTCCCTTTTATAATACCCAAGTAACCCGAGACCACCACCGTGTTTGTATAAAAATACATTGTCAATGGGAGAAAGTCACCCTTTTCAGAAAGGAGTGACTTTTTCTCCCCCAAGAGGCTGTTTCTCATACACACACATACACTCTAACTTTAATATCCTATTCTGAAATGTCAAGGAAAAAAATAGTTAACCTGGGCTTCAACACATTTATGGCAACTTCTGCCCCCCTAGAAAACATATTGTAACCCCCTTTGTTGGTCAACATCCACAGTTTAGGAAACACTCATCTATGGAGATGTTGTGCGCATCTCTCTTATGACAAGCCTAACAGGGT